AGCCTCCTTTGCTAGGTTCTGACCATGGTGGAGGGTCTTGTGGACCTCAAGAAGAAATATATCTGCCAAGAAGGACTCCTTGTGGTTAACTGGGCCCAAAATTCATAATCAGAGACTAGCAGCCATTGTTTTCATGTTAACTGCATTATCAGGGAAAAGCCACAAACTGAGCTGCCAAGCCCCCTGCTCTGTGTTCCTACTCACGGGACCGAACCTTATGAAGGAGTTACTGGAATCATATTTTGACCAATGGACTGAGACATGCCCCATCCAGTCAGAGCTGCATGGCTTTCTCCCTCATTTCCGTAGGTTTTTATATTCTCATTTGCATCTTTACCAACCACTGAAAGCAGCTCCACAATGCCAGTCAGGATGAGCTATTCCAGGCAATCAGGAACCAGTGCTATTTGAACCAATCAAGTGAGGCAAATTTGGATTTCTCATTTGCATAAAATGAATCAATCAGGGACCAGGGTGGGCACTTTGTTTAGTGGGCCTCCCCTTTGCCTTAGAGGAGCACACTTTCAGTTTCCATGGGAGGCCGCCTTTTCCTGGTTTGCAAACTATGTATCTGAGTAAGTTTAATCCTGTCCCCACACCACAGTCTGGGGACTCCTGTTGGCATTGGATGGTGACAGTGAAGTGCTGTTGGCAGTCTGCAGGCTCAGACCTCGCTTCTCAAAACATCCCACGGAAGTGTCTACTAGACATGTCAAGGCAAAATGTCTGAAATTGGATCAATCCTGATTTCTCCCCATCCCGAAGCTGTTCCGCCTGTCTCAGGTAACTCAGTGTCTTCATTCTTCCTGGTATTCAGGCAAAAACCTTGACTCTCACACCCAATGTTCAATCTGATAGCACCTGTGGGCTTTGCCTTCAAAATATACCCAGAATTTCACCTCATTACCTTATCACTCTATCGTTCTCATCTGGACCAGCCCCCACCATTTCTTGCCTAACTACTTTTTTTGTACCCATCCCTTGTCCCTTTATCATCTCTTCCTAACAGAGAAGCCAGAATGAGTCAGATATGTCACTCTTCTGCTTAAACGTCTTAATGGTTTTCCATCTCAGTCAGAGTAAAAGCCAGAGTTGTTGCAATGGCCTGCAAGGCCCAGCAAGATTGGGTATCCTAGTCCCTCTCTAGCCTCATCGCCACTCCCCGTCCACTAGCCATACTGGTATCCCACCTCAGTGCCTTTGCATTTGCTGTCCCTTCTGTCTGGAGTGTTTTTACTCTGAGTTTCTGCACAGCCTTCTCCCTCACTTCCTTTACAGGTCATTATCTTCTCAGTGGGGCCTGCCTTGACCACCTATTTACATTGTGCTCCCATCCTTACAACAGGCCCTCTCGATTCCCCTTCCCTACTTTAATTTTCTATATAGCACATATCTACCTGATAATATTGTGAGCAACCATCTGGTTTGCCTGGGATGTCCCAGTTTTAGCACTGAAAGTCTCACATCCTGGGAAACCCATGGTCCCAGGCAAACAGATGGTTGTTCACCCTACTGATACACTGTACATTTTACTTGGTTATTTTTGGTATATTAACAATATGACTATATTTTTCTATGACTGTAGGGATTTTTTGGCTGATTTGTTCATGATACCCGGTATACATAGTAAATTCTCAATAAATATTTATTTAATGAATATGTGGAGAGCTGATAATGACTATAAGTTAGGGTCATCCAGTATTTAGTATATCGTAAATTCTCAATATGTTTAAAGGATAAATGAATAAATTCCCTGTAAATTTATACATATTAAAACATGTACTACTATAACCCTAATTGGTAGGTTAATTGCTAACATATATGCAAATATGACCCTAATTAGCATGTCAGTTATTAATTCTGCCTTATGGATGCTAGCCACATTCTTTTTTTTGTATTCATGATGAAAAATAATATACAGAAACCATATAGTATCATGCATAACTTCTGTAGGCCCTCATTAATTCAGCACGTACCTGCTCTGGGGATTGTGCGTACTTTATCTACAGATGACTAGATGGACCTTCCCCGAAAGCCCAGAGCTGCTCAGGCCACATCCCAGCAGCTCTCATGCCTGACCCCCCAACCCCACACCCTTCTCTGATGTTCTGCATCCCTCACCACTCAGGACTAAACCAGTTGGAAGAGTTGGACCATAATCTCTACACAGTTATAATGATTACAGATCTCAAACTTTTCAAAAGAGCCCTGGCTGTGTGGCTCAGTGGATTGAGTGCTTACCGGAGAACTGAAAGGTTGTGGGTTCAATTCCCAGTCAGGGCACATGCCTGGATTGCAGGCCAGGTCCCCAGCTGGGGTTGTGCAACCGATAGATGTTTCTCTCCTCCTCTTTCTCCCTCCCTTCCCCTCTTTATAAATAAATAAATAAAGCCTTTAAAAAAAACAAAAGAAAAAAGATCTGGCAAACTATTCAAAGAAAATAAAAAGCTTTCTGAGGCCCAATGGGGTCTTTTTTAAGAGGTACAGATAGTCCTGGAAGAGACCTGAAGAACAGCCGAGGAAAGGAGATGGGGACAAACATGTCCTATTCCTACAGGGGGGTTCAGCCCTTAACAAAATTGAGTGGCTCAGAAGCAATGAAAAAGAACACAAAGACTCCAACCAGTGAAAAGCCCATGAGGACAGGGTAGTGAAAGAACTGCGAGAGCTGGGGGAAGGGCAGGATGGGTTGTGTCCACTTCTCCAGCGTGAATCAGCACCTGCCTTGGTCAGATCGCTAAGGTGACTTTCCCAAGTCAGAGGGCAGGGTGGTCAGATACCACCTGCCCCTCACTGTAATGAGGGTCCTACTTCAGGAACTGGCTTTGGGCTTGCCGGGAATTTATCCAGTGGTTTAAGCATTTAGAATCTGAGAGTGATTTCTATTCTGGCCTCCTGGTCCTTTCTGGCATACATCACTCTTCACTCCAGGTCTAGTCTTAACAATGCCACCACCTGAGCTAGACCTGAGGGTAACACAGTAAGACAAAACCCCACTCCAACTCCACTTAGCTGTTTCCTTTAGCCCAGGGAAAGGCCTCTCTGCTCTGGAAGCATCTTACCTTCTCTCCTCTCTCAAGCTCCCCGGCACATTGGAATCACCTGGAGAGCTCTGCGCTTCACCTGTCTGCTGGGGGAAATAGGTGGCAAGGAAGGCAGACACTGCCTTGAGGGCTGGAGGGCAGCTTGCTGTGCCAGGGGAGGTAAGAGCAGGAGCAAATGTCCCAGTCCCTCAGGCCCAAATGTCATCAGTCCCAGGACATTTTTTGAGATGGCAGTCAGTTGCAAAAGTGGGTAAAGTATTGATTTTTAAAATGAGAACATATCAAATTCATTTATATTTGGCTTACCAAAGTTCAGTAACCCAAGACAAGTGAAATCCAAGAGTAGTTGTGGTCCAGCCATGAGGGCGTGGTTCTCAAACTTGAATGTGCCTCAAAAATCACCTGGAGAGCTTGTGAAAACACATCAGTGGGCCCCACCCCCAGACTTTCTTATTTAGTGAGGCAGGGTGGGACCCAAGAATGTACCTTTCTAATAAGGTCCCAGGTATGTTGATGCACTGGTGGTGTGACCACGTTTTGAGAACCATTGCATTAGAGTGGTTTCACAATAAACCTAGTGAAATGACATTCCTACCTAAAGCTGTTTATTCTTAGTTTATAAACATGGTCTGCCTCAAAAGTGCAACGACGCCAAACTTCAGAAACAGAAAAAACCCAGGCAAAAATTGAGATGTTAGATTGGTCTGAAATAATGTTACGGGATAGTTCAAAATATTTGGAAGGATAGCACATTTTTCTCCCTCACTTCCTTCTTTCATGTAGTTGGTTCAAAGAATAGGGCTTTAAGGGTACCATGGTATTTGATGAAATAATGAATGTAATCTTGGCCTGAAAAAAATTAAGGTAGTTTCCAGAAATATTTCATTATACTTTTGGGCGATAGTCTATATATCCAAACAAATAATTCTAATAAATCAGTAAAACACCCTGGTCAGCCTTAGTTTGTGGGTGAAGCCCCATTAGGGATTATAAATGTAAAAATTCACTAACGAGACAGTGTTGGCAAATAGTTTTGTTAAAAACCTAGTTAAGATAGCTGAAAGTCTAGTCAAAGATGCTCTCTCTAAAATTCTCCATTTTCTGTGATTACTAAATAAGAAAACTAGTATTTCACAAAGTTAGTTCTATAAAATCAATGCTTATCTGGTTAACCCTCCAGTGAATTCAACCTGCTAAAGTTATTATTTCTTTTAATAGGCAGTCTTGTTCCTGCTCTACTTAGGATCACCCAGCTAGGACACTGGCATGCAATCATAAATAGGGTGGCATCATGCGGATGGCTTGTTTTCCTGCTGTCTGCCCTTCTAAAAGTGTCCAGCAGCCTGGCATTAGAAACACACTAACAAACTGGTACAGGCAGATTTTTGTTTCAGGCATGTTTTTTATTTCTTTATTTCTTTCTTTATTTATTTTTAGAGAGAGGGGAAGAGAGGGAGAAGAACATTGATGTGAGAGAGAAACATCAGTCACTTGCCTCTTGTGTGAGCCCCAACCGGGGACAAACCCTCAACCCAGGCATGTGCTCTGCAGGGGAATTGAGTTGGCAACCTTTTGCTTTGTGGGATGACACCACTTGTAGGGATAAGACCAAAATCTTGGGAAAGTAGAAAAGATAATGTCTCTTTCTAAAGTATGTTTTGTCAAAACCAAACCATCTGGATTCTGCACATTCTTTAATTAGAGAGATTTTGAATACTATTTACCCAGCTCTCCCAGATTTCTTTACCTATGTATCTCTTTCTTCAGCAAAGCCCATTATTTCACTTGTTTACAGCATTAGAATGCTCACTAGGAATGCCTCCCTTTCACTAAAGTGGTACGATATAGCCTTAGGAACAAAGATGTCAAGATATCAAAATAATTTTGTTTGTTTGTTTGTGACTAGGAAAGACCCCAGCTTTTACTTTAAAGAGAGGGCTCTATTAACAGACTTACTTGCTGATAATGAGTGTTTCCTCACCACATATCCACACTCTCATGAATTCCCCATACATCTTGTTGTAGTAGTTGCAGGCACTGCCAATCCCCATCCACAGGAACCGCAGGTGGGAAATGAGGGGCCCAATTCCCATGCAATAGCCAGGACCTAGGAGAATGATCGAATCACAATCAGCATTCCAGTGACACCAAAAAGAGCAACTGTTTTGTGTCACTGCTTTCCTTGTTCTTTTATATCTAAGTGTTCTTTCACATCTTCTGATGTGTATCTGTGAATCACTTTAAAATTTTTTTTAAAAATAAACCAATAAGCTTAACTAGAAGCTGTCTACCCCTCCATGAAAAAAAAAACTAATTCATTGTCTACACCATAGTAATTCCATTTGATCTCAGTCATTTCAGTCTGAATCCACAGGGTGCGTGTCCAATATTTTCTTGCCATGTTAAATGGTGTCAATGAGTTTCAAATATAAGTCAATCAGTCTGTCTAGTTGCAAGCATAGAAACCAGGAAAAGTGACAAGCTGACAAATCTGTTTGGCTGCATAGTTTTGTCTGAAAACTTTTGGTTTAAACCCCCCAGTTAACCTAATGGGTGGGTTAGAATTAAGTTGTAGTTTTAGCGTAATCTTTTTAACTATGAGAAACATGGTCTGCAAAGATAATGTCCAAAGAACATCCATATTTTTTTTTTCCTTCAGAAAGGACTCAGTTTAAGAAAAGAATCTGAAGAAGTACAGAGTAGAAGGGATTATCTAATATATTTTTAAATTACTTTCATTTAAAATGTGCAAATAATTGGTATAAAATTTTTCGCCTGAGTCTTCATTTGCTAACTTTGTCATGGGCTTCAGCCATCTCCCCAGGTTTGCTCTGCATCTTTTACAAATTTTTCTCTATATGGACCAAAAGCTGAAGTAAACAATCCCCTCAGATACAAAACTAAATGATGACTTACCTGGGATCGAGGAGGTGTCCTCATAATTCCAAACCAAAAGAAGAAACCCAGTGAGCAGCAGGATCGGCATGGTAGCAACAGGCCCAGCTTTGGGCACCACGCTGGTGATGTTATACTGCACTGGGTTCAGCATTTCCAAAACCATATTGTGTTCCTCAGTCTCAGGGGAAGCGAGCTAAAGTCCTGTGGAAATCAAAGAGGCTGAAAAATTTGAGGACTCCCGTTGTTTCAGAGGATGCTATATTGTAGAGAGTTGTCCTTTGTTTTATAATGTGATTGGACACTTTGGATAAATGACTCATGGGGACAAGTCAAAACAAACTTGACGTGCAGCATTTCTGACCTTGATAGAGTCTCAGGTTCATTTTGACGCTTGGACTGATAGAACCTTATCATCTTGCCCTTGAGTGGGTAGAGTGACTAAAGTTCCAATTAAAGACAAATTTATTATCAAAATACAAGAATATGAAGTTCATTCCAGAGGTGGAGTTATTCTGTGACTTCATTAGCAGATTTTGTTTAGGTAATCTTTTTCCCTTGCAACCAAATCAATTTTAAAAATGCAATCCCCAACACCCTTCCTTATTCAAAATTACTTTCCTCAAAGAATAGGCTTCTTGGTCATAGTGAGGCATCCTCAGAGACCCTCCCCCCAACCCCCACCAACATTAGATTGTCTATTGAATTCATTGGGATTCACCCAGGACAAGTGAGACTTAAGATCTCTTGCATCACAGGCTGGGTTAAACACTGTTCATGGGGGCCAATGTCAGTGAGGATGGAGGCAGCGATAAAGGACACCTGTGTAAAGCCTTGTAGGTATGTGAAAGATATTAGAATTTTCCCTAAAAGAAATGAGGAGCCACTGAAGGGCTGTAAGCAAGGGGTCAACAAACAAATAACCCATGCCTACTGTTTCCTTTTCCTTTCTAACCATTTCCTCTTAACTCCTGGCTTTTGCTTCAACTGCACTCGTATACCAGACTCTCAGAGGTTCCATATGACCTCCCTCCTGCCCAATTAAATCTTTACCTTAATCTTTGTTCTTCTCGATCTTACCCTGTGACATTGACCCATTTGACCATTCTGCCTTCTTGAATCTTTTTTGTCTATGGTTGCTGTGATAGGCTTTTCCTTTTCTCCCATTGTTCCTTCTTTTTCCTCTGTACCTGTTCCTAGTTCCCCTGAGGTCTCCAGACTAAGTGCTTTGCACCCTATGCTGCTTATTTCCTTTGAGAACTCATTACTTTTCCTGACTCTAGCTCTCACTGCTGTTTGGGTCTCCTTCCCCTCACCACCCCCCAGTCCCCCAGTTTCCTTCTCGGGCTTGTTCTCTCTCTCTTTTCTTTTTTTTAATACAAGCAAAAGTTTATTTAGAAAGTCACAGAGGTAGAAGTGAGCCATGGAAGAAGTGAGTCAACTGGGCTGTATAGGCTCAAGAAACAAGTTACAGAGGCAAAAGGAAGGGCCTTAGAGCTTAGGAAAAAGCCAGAGAGAACACACCTGGGGGAAGGTGAGGGGGGAAGGAATGGGCATGAGAGAGAGAGAAACCTTTTATTTTTGTCTTCTCACTTTAGCTCTGTATCTGGAGCCCCAAATGCATAGTGAAATCACCATTTAGGTGCCTCACCATCACTCCACACTTAGGTCTAAAACCAAATCCAACTTCCTCCTGTTCTCGATCTCCCACCTCAACCTTTCTATGCCTCAGTTTCCTAGTCCTTCAACTGCAAAATCTTGTTTTAGACTTACCCCCTACTTTCCTAACCCATATCTCTCATCCCAGCCTAAACATGTCCAGTCACAAAGTTCTAAGGATATTCCCTAAAAAATGTCTTGTGCTTGACTCAAGGTACTTTCCTGAACTTCCTTTACGACGCATCTTAATGTTTACAATGGACCTTAACTCTACCCTCTGCTCTGTTTATGATCAAAGCATATTCCCAGTGGTCAGTTGAAGGCAAATTCAGGCGCCCAGGTAGGATGTCTGTGGGTCAGTGAGGAATCAGAGTTTGGGTGTGGCGAGCCAAGAAATATACCTAGATGAGGATGAATTTAGAGACATTATAGTCAACTGGAAGCAAAGAAGGGTTTTTAGCAGGGGATTGCTTTTATAAAAAAAACTGAGTTGAGAAACTGCCTGGCAGGGGTGTGCAGGATGAACTGAAAGGGAAGGCCTGAGGGGAATGGGCTCAAGAAGTCTATAACAGGGAGAGAGACTCTTGCCAAAAATTACCTTGAACTCTCTAATCCAATTGTTTTCAAAAACCTTTTGAAAAACCCATTGGGGATTCTTGGTGGACCTTCAATCCACTCTGGGAATTCCCAAGATCTAATGCCCTCAAGGGTTACACAGGTGGTACAAATGAGGTGAACAGACTTGTAATGTATTATAGAACATAGCCCTCCTCTCAAAGTATCTGACATAATGCCAAACAAAACATTTCTAATGGGCCCGATCTAGTCTCCAGCCCATTTGCAGCTTTTCCTTAGTATCTGAATCAATTGCCACGATCCGAAGAGCTGCACACTTGGACCTAGTTGTGTCCTTTCTCAAAATGCCTTTGCCTGGTTATACTTTAGTGCCAGGTCATAAGCTAACCCTGGGTTACTCTGTAAGATTAGCCATACACACCATTTTATCTAAAGAGATGTTTTCAGGAAAATAAAATCATTAATATTTATCCTTTGGAGTTGAATGTATTTTTGTAAGTTTCTTCAAATCCCTTACAGTATAAATAAGGCATTAAGTTTTTTATTGAATTTATTGGGGTGACATTGGTTAATAAAATTATGTAGGTTTCAGGTGTGCAATTCTATAATACGTCACTTGTATGTTGTATTATGTGTTCACCACTGGGCATTAATTCTTAAAAGTCACCTCCTTCTGTTTCTTCCCCTAAAAGATGAGTTCCCTAAAGTCGGAGATACGTGTCTGTCTTCTTCACACCCATATCTCACTCCTAGAACAGCATCCAGACCATTGTACACGGTCGCTACAAATTCATTGCCTGAGTCAGCACTGTTTCCACCTTTGTCCAGAATTTATCCCCTGTTGTAACCTCTCTATTATATGAGTTCTTCTCATGTCCCCCTTTGCTCAACTGGTTCTGCCTATGAGTCTCCTGGGAGATATCTGTATCTTCCTTCCCCAAGCCTTCTCTTACTTGCTATAAAAAGCCCACCTTACTCTCTGTTTGATATGGCACATTCTTGTTTTTGAAATGCCAAGTCACTCTATAACTCAGGGTCCTGGAGAGTTTCATTAAATATTTACCAAAGACCCTGACTGTACAAGGTGATACATTCAGAAATGAGAGGCACGCTCTGGTCAGGTAGCCTCTGGTTGGTCTGGTCTGGTTGGTTGGCATGTCGTCCCGTACGCCAATAGGTAGTGGGTTCGACCTCTGGTTGGGGTGCATACAGGAGGCAACCGATCGATGTTTTTCTCTCACCATCAATATTTCTCTCTCTCTTCCCCCCCTTCCTGTCTCTCTAAAAAAAAAGTCAATGAACATATCCTCAGGTGAGGATTTAAAAAAAAAATGAGAGTCCTGTGTCCCGAGGAAGGCAAAGCCAACCACGAACTTCTACACCAAGGAAACATGGGTTATCAGAGGTTGAAAGACACTTTGAGATCTTCTAATAATATAGTTCATTCCGTTGAAAAATGAACCAGCAACATGAAGTCCAGGGAAGTAAGGCCATTTTCCAGTGGTCACTTAAGAGTGGGAAAGTGTCACCCCTGTGCACACTCCACAATCTGATTTCTGTGCCCTGGCACTGGGGTCGCAGCACTGGGGTTCCACTCATTCTTCCCACAAAGCTCCCAAGTCAGTCCCTGGAAATTTCTTGTTCTGAAGCAGGAGAGCCACAATAGGAACCAAAAAGGGAAACCCAGAGAGATAAATGTTGTGTGGTTGGTGCGGACTTCCGACAGGGCACCGCTAGGAGACCTCGGCCACTAGCATACCTACCAGACAAGGAAGACAACTGACAGTACATAAATGGCACGTTACCCTCTCAGGTGATGGACAAGCTGCCCCAAACCGCAGCAGCGTGCGCGTGTAGACCCAAATCCTTGGGCATCAGGCCGCACTGGCACTTTTGTACTCACCTTTGAGGTCCCATGACTTCAGTGCATGGTTGCAGAAACTCCTTTTTTTACGATAGCTTAGTGGCCAACCTCCAGGCAGCTTGGCCACCCTTTTATCTCAGCTTTCATTTTTCGGCATCTGAGGGTGGCTTCTTGTCCCTTAGGTACCTCATCTGTTGTCTTCCCAATGGTATCTGATATCCTCTCATAGGAGAGTTCGTTTTAAAGTATGGTCAGCAGTGAACAGCTGAAAAGCCTTCTAGATCTTGATCACTGAAGGCCTTTCAGGCCAGGAGCCAAGGGTGGGGGTGCAGGGGATTGTAGGGTCAAAGGCCTATCGTGGGGCCCTCAGGCACTGCTGTGAAGGGGCTGCCCGACACCCATATGCTTTCTCACGGAGGGGACGGAATGGGCAAGCCTGGGTATTTTTCCTGCAGCAAGTCATTTTTCTAAGAAGTTTGCCATCCCCTCAATTTCAATTTGGTTTTGCAAGACCTAACATGTCTTGCAGCAAAGGAGATAAGGTAGAAAGATTTTTCCAGTCCAATTGTGGCTTTTATACTGAGGGAAAAGGCAGAAGTGACAATATCATAGGAGCAGGATTTGGGGCCAGGAGCCTGAGTCCAAGCCCTAGCTCTATGGCCACCCAGCCCTGTGGCCTCGTTCACTTCTCAGGCCTCCCTGAGCCCTGGCTGAGGAAGTGGGTTCTCTCTACATCAGGACACTGAGGTTTGGGTTAAAGTGAAAGTTTCAGAGCTGTGCACTTGCTGTCTTTCCTCAGGCTCTAAGGTCTCTGTGGTACCTGGAGTTGTATGACTCTGTGACTCTGGAGTAAAAATGACAGGTCCTCAAGTGGGGCTACATAGGGCAGCCTTGATTCCATCAGCCAGAGAGGCCACCAAACCTCTTTCTCGTGGCAAGATCCAAAGTCACTCCTGAGCCTTGGTGTCCAAAATTTGTCACCCCTCTTGGTTGATCCAAAAGGCCTTTTTCTGCTCACTTTCCTCTTGCAAGGGCGGTAACAAGTCAGCCCTGTAGAGAACACACCC